ATTATTATTATTATTATTATTATTATTATTATTATTATTATTATTATTATTATTATTATTATTATTATATCCATAAGGGCCTTTGTAGAATTCCATTTTATGTACAGTTATACTGATTTATGGTTCAGAAGGACAGAACAGGAGGCCCTATTCCTAGTCAGTCATACCTTATTTACCTGTCAACTGGACTATTGCAATGTGTGCTACATGGTACTACTCTTAAAGAACAGTTGTAAGCTACAGCTCATCCAAGTTGAGGCAGCTTGAGTAGTTACACATACAACCTGATATGCCCTTATAATATCACTACTGCAACATTTATGATGGTTGCCAATTGGCTCCCATGTGCAGTTCAAGTTGATAGCCATCACTTTCAAAACTCTTAATAATTCAAGCATTGAATTTCTGTGGAACCATCCACTTCCAATAGTATTTACCTGTCCAGTTAGATCTTGTAGATGGCCATCTCTTCACTAAGAGAATGTAGTTTCTCAATCACTGTCCTCCTTCCATGAAACAGTTATCTGATTTTCCAGAATACTACTAATAAGTCACTTTTAAATGCCTTCTCTCGCTTTGACTTTAACTTCAGCCCTGCTGGTTTCCTGTCAGCTCCTTAGCCCATTTCAACTTCTCCTTCCCATCAGAGAGACTATATGAAAAACCTTACTATTTTTTTCTCTCCAGGTCTTTTCCAGGTTCAGATTATTAACAAAAGTACAGTTTGTATGTCAGAGGGATCATGTGACAGGATGGCAGACAATGTTGACCTTTTCCATTCTGTCAGTCTGCAATCCCATTGTCTTTTGAAACATTATTCAAAGTAATAAAGTTTCTCTTGGAGTGACTGGCAACCACATATGCATCTGCATTTCTGGAACTTCTCCATCCTGCATACTATTTAATATGTTTTGGCCATACCACATTTGTTATTTATTTGTGACTACAAAGGGATCAGTTTCACTTTCCCCACTTGATTTAAGTGCTGGATGCAGCAACCAGTATGTGGGTATCAAAGCGCACCATGATCCTTAGCAGTATAAGCATATAAGATAGTTTTGCCCACCCTTCTTAATTTTTTTAGCATTTGTTATCCCCTCTGAAGCTTTCTGAACATGCATGCAGATGAGAACAACAGGGAGCTGCTTCTGAAGCAGCTGCACAGTCCTTGCAAGCAACATGGCTGAAATTATTCCAAAAGAGATACTTCATACATTTTGCCATGTGATATGAAGTATTTCTTTTAAAAGTTTTCATCATCCCAATTTAAAAAAAACAGTGCTAAAATGAAATTAAGCTTAGATCAAACTAGTTTTTCCAGTTTCTACAGGACCGTCTTTTTTGATTGATAGACAGTCATAGCCAGTTCATTCTGTAACCTCAGAGGTTACCCACTCTCTGTAACCTGGAAAAAAAAATCCATGAAAAAAATTCACTTATTTGATATTGATATATGTTTAAAATGTAGGAGGCCAAGGAGACTGCAGACCCCTGAACTGTATAGGACACCAACTGATATTTTTAGCCACCTCATAATTAAGTCTAATAACCGCACGTCACTATCCATAATGATTTCTTTAAGCCTACTTTCTGATGTGAAAAAAAGTCAAAAGCATATACTTTTCCACTAAATCAAAGGGCAAAGTATGAAGAATATCTCACAAAAGACATTCCATGTGGAACAATCTGGAAAAATACAAAAGGGAGCACTTTTGTTGGTATCTCATTCATATTTCTCACCTTTACTTGCAGACCTTTTGTTCTTTTTGAACAAATGTCTGTGACAGTGTTTCTCAACCTGGTGGCTTTCACAAGTGTAGAGTTGTTGGCTAGATAATTCTGGGAGTTGAAATCCACACTTCTTAAAGCTGTCAGGTTGAGAAACCCTGGTCTGTCAAGTCCATAAAAAGCTGATCACGTGGCATAAGAAAACTGCTGCTGCCTCCACCAAAAGAGATCTGCAGCTTTTACCACGGCTTCCATTTTAACTCAGCCTTTCCTCTTCTTCAGAAGCATTACTCCTGCCTGGGTTTGGGGAAGACGGGCTTCCTACAGAATTTCTGTAAATTATATGTTAAATTCACATGAAACCAATGGGCGGTTCAATGGCAGTACCAAAACAGAAGAGAATATTCAGTTATGGTAGATGGGCTATCATGCTGCGTTTGTTTGTTTGTTTGTTTGCTTGTTTGTTTGTTTGTTTAAATTTATATTGCTGCTTACTCGCACATGGCAACTCAAGGCAGCTTACATATAAAAGAAGTAAAAATAATAAGAAAAATAAAATAATAACCCCCACCCCGGCGACAACACACATTCAAACTAGCCATTTACTGGGCTCCATCCCACTCTGAGTTCCCCAGGCCTGCTTGCAGAACCACGTCTTCAGCACCTTCTGAAAGAGTGTTAGAGTGGGAGCCTGTCTAATCTCTGAGGGGATGATGTTCTAGAGAGATGGAGCACCATGGAGAAGACCCTTCTTTAAGTGATGGGCTACTCATGCTGCACTTAAGAGAGAACTTTGTGTGCTTCCTGACGTGTTTTGCAAACTTGGCTAGTTCTCCTTGATCCACACGAAACAATGCAATGACCTCTAGATTCCAGTAATATTATCTGAAGAGGCATCTATAACAGAAAATGTTTGGCAGATCATGCAGGACATACCTCAGCATAGCATACTTGTTCCACTTTACTTTTCTCATCACTATATTATATACACGAGAGGGATGTCCTGACTGAGCCAACTATGCTTTCTGATAAAAGCAGCTGTACAATTTGGGCCCAATTTAAGTGTGCATCCTTATTTAAAATATACCTCTGTTGTACACTTAGCAAATTTTTCTGTTGCTAAATTGGATAAAGTATTATTACCTTACCACTGTCAATCTCTGGGATTTGTTTTAAGGTTTTCTTTAGGGATCATTGTACCCAGTGCTTTTTTTGAAAAAAAAAAAAAAAAAAAAAAAAAGGTGCCGGAACTCACACATGTCATACAACCCGCCTTGCCTACCCTACAAGGTTCCATCCCAAAAAGGTGCCAGAACTCTGTTCTGGGCGTTCTATGACAAAAAAAAGTCCTGATTGTATCTATCCATAGAGATTGTGTAAATGGCATGATAATTCGTGTAGTGGATCAGGAACAGCCTAAACTCCAACTTGGGATAACAGCTGGGCACTAAACTAGCATCTGGGAGACCTAGATCTTAATCTACAATCAGTAGTATCAGTTAACTTTAGCCACCATCTTGTACAGTGATGTGGTTTGGGAGGAAATTAGAAGAAGAAATCCCAAGTGTACATCTTTAACAGTTAAAAGAGTTAACAACAAACAAATAGC